TGTCCTAAGCTCTTCACTCCTTGTGGTCTTCTTGAAACTTCTTCTTTATGTCCAGAAACTGCTTGAAATAGATCTTACACAATTAATTTTCTCGGAGCCTTGAATTGAATTTTTAAGTTTTTCTCGAGCTCCTTCAATGATAAATTAAATTTGCTTACAAGTTATGTGCATTTTCAGCGTTTGGTTTCTTAACCAAACTTGTGAGTAATATTATTTGGAAGGTGTAGAGAAAAGTTTGAAGGAAAATGGTAGAAGGCTCTCTAATTTCGAAGAAATCTGAGAAAGGAAAACCCAAAAACTAAACATTGATATTTCATGATTGAAAGCTCTACTTTGCTCGATTTTTGTTCCAAATGAAAGCCCCTCTTTCAACCTTTATAGAGGAAGTAAACCAACATTGAAATGAAATTTTGTGCAAGGCACTATGGTAGCATATCAGATTATCTCATTTTTATGGTATTTTTCCTTTAATTCTTTCAATCTTTAACGGGTAGTTTAGTGATTTGCTATTTTTTGAACATTTTATTAATATTTTTCGAATACTGTAGTCATTTTAGGGCCTTTTTCTAATTCTTTCCATCTTCCTGCTAGCGCTCAATAGTTGACACATATGGAGATATAGGAAAATTTGAAGGTCACTTATAGCGAGCAACGACTCCTCCATACCTATTAGACTTCCCAAGAATTTGTGACATACGAGGACACTAAGATTTATGTGTAGAAGACAAATTGACGAGTTGGACCTTGGAGACTAGGAAATGAGACCATAAGTACACCCTGAAATCCACATACACCTCGGAGGGTGACTTACACCCTTGGAATAGGAATATGTAGGGTATATGGACCTTAAGTGTCTGAAAGGGCTAGAAATGAACCGAAGCCATGGATTTTGCCAACTCTTGGACCCTGATGGAGAACATGAATTAAGAAACAAAATTTTGATAAGCCTACAAGTAGGTGATTACCGAGTATTTTTATACTTATTCTTGCTATTCTTTGTTTACATATTGACTGTATCCAACCACTTGACAATAGGAGCATGAGAGCCACTCAACTATAGAGAACTTTTTAATAATACTTTAATGTCACTCTCTCAAAACTCGTATTATTTTGTAAATAGTTTTACTTTAAATCTCCTGACATGATTCGCAGTTTTAGCACTTTTTATTTTGTAAATATTAAACTATAAATTATTTATAAAAGTAAAGAAGAAAATTACGTTGGACTCACAATATGTACTAGAAATTGTAGAACATGATAGGACCGTAAATTGAAATGATGTAATAAATAGAAGGAACCATTTTGTGTGCCATGGAATATGTTATTTTCAACCAACTAGCTCGTCTAGCTTAGTTGGTAGAGAACAAGGCTCTTAATCTTGTGGTTGTGGGTTTGAGCTCCACAATGGGTGAATTTAAAACTAGAAAAATTCTCTTTTAAAATTAGAGTCTCCAAGTTTTGGTTGATCATGGTTTGTTCCATTAGTCATGTTATTTCAAGTATGCTATTTGAGGTGAAACGTATGGTTTATGTGTTAAGACATTTGAGGCTTTACTTAGTTTTGAGTTATTGACATGGATTCAAAAGTTTTTAAAATTAATTTATATTAAAAGTAATTATCACCCCTTACTTCTCTAAGGGAATGAATCAATGCATTTAAGCCAGGACAACGATCTTAAGCAAGAAATTTATATATCCTAAGAATTAATTTAAGGATTTAAAGCATTTGAAAAAGGATGGGAAAAGAAGAGGCAAACCAAAAGACTACAAATCAATTTTTTTTTTTCAATTTGTAAGGATCTTTCCGCATTTTTTAATTCACTATCTAGAATGAATTTTAATAGGTTCAAGTAAGGAATAATGACTTGAAATTTTTTTAGAAAAAATCTATACGTTTTAGAAAAGTAATAATAAAATATTAAGAAAATGGCACATTACCAAAATAACCCTTAAAATATGGATAATTATGAAAATGCCCTTCTTTCCAGAATCAGAACTTCCACAATGACCTTCTACACACTCTATTGAATCTCAAAAACAAGCATGGGATCCCTCCAAAATTGGACAAAATCTAAAATGTTCACAGATCACCACATCAATAAGTTAGAATTCAAATTGGAAGTCTATAACTCGCTGATCAAAGAGGCTGTTTCTGATGGATTATCTAGAAAATTAATCTCTAAATCACGACAATGATTGAGGTTTCAGCATCGGTGTAAGTTTTCCCTATAAGGTCTGAAGTTGAGGCAATAGTATGGAACAAGAATCAAGTTGAATCGATCTCTCAATCACAAGCAATAAGCGTTTCTCCCTTGTTCCCCTTTAAACTTCTTCCTACAACTTCTAAACAAGATTACAAACAAGATTTATGAAGGAATCGAGCATTGAAAATGCCTAAAAACCATTCCCCCAATCCGATCTGCCATTGAAGAACTTCAAAGTAAGCTTGAAAATAAAATCCGAGCCTACACACAAATTCGTCGACCAAGACAAATCCTAATAAGTTTCTGCACCTCCAAGAAGTATTTTCATAGAACATCGCGAAGAAAAATAACCTCAGGAACGTTCCCAATTGAAGGAAATCCGTTCCTAGTAGAATTTGGGGGTAAGTGTTGAATTCCTATCTACGATCCATTTTCTTTCAAATTAAGAGTTTCTTTAGATAAAGAGGATCAAGTTGAGTAACTTTGATGTAGGAATCGAAAAACGTTGTAGAATGAGCTACCTAAGAAAAGGAAAATTCACGTTTTTAGACGAGTTGTAGATAGAGGACTATTTTTCAAAATTAAGGTCTCATGCAAAAAGACGTTCCTCCGAACAAATTATTTTACCTTGAGGAAATGATAATGAAGAGGTTCCATAAAACAATCGAGCCTTGAAAACTCTTAGAATCGGCTACCAAATAATGAATCACGAGAAAACAGATTTGAGACAAACTTTGGAGGCGGATATCTTAGACTACGATCCACGAGAAGGTACGAAATCAATCCGTAGCTCTTCCTTGTAACACCTACTTTAGTTTCATGAAGAAATCGAGGGAAGAAACATTGTAAATGGAGTTATTGTCACGACCCCACTTTCGAGGCTTCGAAAGACCAAATCGTGACTAAAAAGATGAAATCCAAAACAAATAAAATATAAGGTAAAAATCCCATAAAATTTAAAAAAGGAAAAACGAAATCAAGGACACCAAAATTAAATATAAAATTAAAGTCAAATGTTACAAATAGAAATTACAAATATAAAATAAAATACAAAAGACTCTAAATATGAAACCGGAAAAAGGACTCTAAAAGTCCGACAAGGGACTGACGCTCCGGAACGACACCCCTCTGTGACAGTGTAGCTCTCGAACACCTCTCCGTATCGACTAGTACCTAAAAAAAAAATAATAGGGGAGAAAGGGGTGAGTATAAAAATATACTTAGTAAGCAACCTACTTGTAGGCTTTTTTCGCATCCTTATCTGAGTAGGTATCCACAGTCTTATCTCTTGGTTCTAATGAGTACCAATCACACTACACCTCTCTTTTTTGTATCTTAGGAGGCTTGCCCATCTTATGTAGTGGAATGATCAGTGTCCTAAGGTGAGGCGCGACCTAATAAGTAAATCCGAGGGGATCGTATGACTGGATCTGAATACGCGACTCTCTCTGAACATCATCCGTGGAGGTTAGCTGACAACCCTCACACGGAACCATACATCCACTAAATGTAGGGTGCAACCCCCTGTGTGCCGGTCAGCTACTAAGTCATCCTACGAGGCTCCACGTCCCCCGCTCAAGGACTGGTTTCTACGTCCCAAGAGTCTTGTTCAAAAGACCCCTTAGCTATCACCACTAGGTCTGGGCACCTGTCACACTTCCCTCTCCTGATCAGCCAAGCTCAACGATCTCCGTACTGGAGCTCTGTCTCAACGGTACAGTATTGGAGCAGAGAGGGAAGAGGAGGTTCTGATGACACTATCCACACTGGTCAACTTTACGGGCTACCTACAGTTATAGTGGTGACCTACTATTATTTCTAGGGTGGAACTTGGTGGATTAGACTTGGATTCATGCATCACTAGGATTCTCGTGCAAGGTCTCACAAACCTATCAGGTTTGGAATTTTGGGCTCTAGATCCGCTGGTAATCGTTTCACGGGTCTAAATGCACGGTATTCTAGAGGTTTAGCCTACTTAGTCAGAAGCACCCTAATCTAAGTTCATAATTTCTTCATATTCAACAATAAAGATAACACAAGCAATCATCATTCATAGGTGTTAACACACAGCAGTTCATGCAATATTAACAAACATGCTCAACGGGAAGATAACGTCCATCTTCACCCAGAATGCAGATTTCACAAGTTTTCCATCCTCCTCATGCATACATATATTATCAGAATCTCAATCTAAATAGATTACATAATCATTCATAACTAGAAACCATAGATTTCCTGATTTATTTCATTTTCATTGTTTCCATACTAATATGCTAGGTTCGGTCAGCTAGGTTTATGGGTATGATAGCATGCATGCTTATTCCAAGCGGTTCCTACCAGTACTACTCGTGGGAATCCAAATGGCTACTTACTTGGTTGACGCATGCCTTCCCAAGCTCGAATTATTTGCCGAAAAAGATTTCAAAAATTCTGAAATTTACTTGATAGGTCCTAATTCTCATAAAAATAGGATCAAAGTTGAAATCCGGGCGAAAAATAAGCAAACGGAGGCCAAACGAGTGAGAGAATGGGGTCCCACGTGCCGTGCACGCGCCAGCAGGTCCCCCACAAGCGCCGGCACACGCCACCACGCGCAGGGCACACGTGCGGGCAGTGCCGCGTTTCAAACCCCACCGGCCGCGGACTTACCTTTAAATTTTTTTAGCGCGACACGTGGCGCACAATGTTTGGCGGGAAACGTCGTGTTGGACCGCGGGTTTCCGCACCGATTCGGCAGGCGTACGGGTCGACCCGACTGAGCGCACCAGTGGAACGCTGCCACATGACGCACCCCGGCTCCGCTGCGCTCTTCCGTTCGCCGGTCGACGCGTGGCGGTGTCTTTCTCTCTCCTGCGTGTGTTTCAAATTTCCAGATGTTAGCGTTTTCGATCAATTTTCTTCCCATTTTCTTATCTTTCAATCCGTAATGAAGAAAATTGTAGATCTCATATTCTACTTCTACAATATATTTTTCCTTTATTTTTTTCCTTGAACACAGGATGAGTTAAGGTCGTCCAAAGATACGGAAAAACTCACATTTTCTGTTTTCAATCGATTTACCCGAAGTTCGACTAAACTCAATTTTCGTCCAATTCTCGTCTAGGAACTTCAAGAAACCTGTGTGAATCTTATTTTAGTTACATACCTCAAAAACTCTAGATCTAACGCTCGAGAAACTCATCAGATTTAGATAAAATTGAAACAAGAAGTTCGGAACCTTACTTTTTGTGTTCTCGGATTTTCTCCAGTAATTAAAATGCAGTATTACAGGAATAATGACCTTTGTTTAAATTTGAAGCCAGAGCGACTTTTTACTTCTTGCAAGCCTGTTTTTTAGGACAAAAGACCCAACATTTCAGAGCACCCATGAATGCTAAGCGAGCGTGTCATGGAGGGCTTGTTTGTCCATGAAAGGTCCCTTCATGCCCACTGGAATGAATCCCCAAGCCATTCATGGATATCACTCCAGCTGAGAATGGTGACCCTGTAAGGAAATTCCTAAAAGTCCCTCCTTCATAGGTTGGAACAGCCGACGAATATAGTGAATAGCATGCAATACCATTTATGGGTTGTAGTAATCATGTTGGGCGCTGTCTTAGGACCTTCATCTGCTGGCAGGTCAAACATCGACCTACAAAAACCGTTATGTCATTCTCCATCCCTGGCCACTAGTAGAATCTTTTCAAATTCTGATACCTTTTCGTACTTCCTTTGCAGAACATGTAAGATATATCGTGAGGTCATAATCTTTTTCAGGATTTTCTCGTTTCGAGGAACTTAGAGAAGGACTTACCATAGCAAACCCCCGTTAGAAGAGTTTGTATGCTCCACTAGTCTCTATTTCTATTTGATTTCACATGATGAGTTGCTCGATTGGACTACTAAGCCATGTCTAACCTGATAATCATTCCCAAATTCTTCTTTAAAGGCTGCCTTGATTTTCTTCAACAGAAGCTCGATGACCGTCATCAGTATCTCTCATCAAAATAAGAACTCGTTTGGGGTTCTTAGCCTTGACTTTATTCAATGCCATAACACCATCATGCGCTACTCCAAAGCCATTGTCTCTAATCCCAATGGCTCCATCAGCAACACCACCTAACGAAGCGAACCCAAGTGAGGGTTTGTCACAGTGGAACCTTATAACACTACTGAACTCGTTTAGAAATCTCCTTAGTCTCGAGCCACCTTTTGAACTCAAGCTCAACAAAACTCCAGACCTGATTGTCCTTTTGGCAAAATGATAATCCTCAAACCGGTTTAAGATAGAACACCTATCAGAAATCAAGCTAAGAAACTTCCAACTGAACTCAAAATAACCCAATTGAGAAACAAAATAAGAAAACAGAGCCATTTTCTTGGACTATGGCCGATGGATTACACATGTTTTTGCAGCTAAGTGAAATTCATAGATATCAACGAGATGGGTGTTTTATAAAAAAAAAAAAAATTGGAAGGATACCACACACAAAACAGGTGAAAGATTTGCAAGAGAGTATTATTCAGAATTAGAATGAAGAAATTAAAAGAAGGATGTTGAAGTTCATTGAGAGGGACCTTTTGCCTCTACTTCGCAGCCACAAGTAGAAGGTGGAGCGAAATGTGGCACTTGTGGATGCGTCCTTTGATTGCGCCAAGTTTATGCCCTTTCCACGCTAGGCATCAAAATGACACCTAGTTTTCGCAACTCTACACTCCGCAATTTCGTATATTCCATTAGAATTGAAATTGATACTTAAATATTATCAGATGAGGGCTACGAAACTAACTGTAGTCGGCAAGTCCACCACAATGCCCATTGCCATTCTCTTTCAGAAATCAATAGAATGAAAGAACTTTTTGGGGGCATTCTTAATTTCTCCTTACACCCCCATAAACTACATGACTCAGTGACCATGGTCAGTCTTGGCCACCTTGTAACTGCATCAAACTTAGCGGAATTTATGGTGATCTTTCTGCTTGACTCTACACGACCTCAATTGTCATCTCAAACAGCCAAAATTTGCTCTTGGGGAACTTAGCGTACAATTGGTGTGTTCATAACATCATCATAACTTTCCCCTGAGTGTTCCTTGTCAACTAACTCCATCTTGGTGTACAACGACACTTTGTCATTGAAGTCGTCTTTGACGATAACAAGAAAATCCCTTAAACATTCGATTAGTCTAAAACTAAACCTTAGCAAGACATTGATCAGGTCGAAAGACTTATCAATAAACTTTTCTTCCTCGTGATTGCTGCTAGTAGTTGTCTTCGATATATCTCTCTCCTTGATCTTCATAAGAGGTATCCTAAACTTGTCGAGACCCTTACAATCCTTACTACTTCACCAAGAATGGTCTCGTAGCTACCTCCCAAGTGGCCAACATAGGTCTTTCCTCACAACGAGATAACTTGTCATGTAGCTCGCCTGAGTACTAATATTCGTCTGAGCTAAATGCAGGTTCTTTTGAAAGTAAAGGTTCCTTGTATAAGTCCTTTACATTCACTTAGGCCAACTCCTGTAGTGTCTTATGGTTGAACAAGTCACATTTCCTTTCGTAGTGATATCTTATATTGGCTCGTGCGTGTGTATCTCTCAAGTTCTTGTAAAGGATCCTATGAAACTCTCTAAAAACTCTTGTTTGGTAACTAGTCTTCCTCAAGCTCTGAGGATACTTTTATCTATGTCCAAGGTTTTCCTTAAGACACATTATGTCTTCTTCTTCCCTTACTAGTGTACTATCACCATCTCATTACTCTTCAGATAGTTTCCAAACTCACATTATCTAGCATCTGTACTTTTGTCTGAGCATGCTTCACAAGTATGGTGTTACACTCATGTGTGAAAATAAAGTTCTACTCTTTGTAATCCAGATAACCTAAACAAGGGTTGGTTCTTACTAACATGCATCTGAACTTTCTCCCTCCAGACGATAAAGGCATGGTCATAGCTTGACTGCTTTTTCTTGCTGTTCTCGACCCTAAGGTTCACTGGACTACCTTAACAGTTTTCACGTTTGTAAGCATTCTTGTTTTGACCTAAGAATAGGTTAGAACATGTTTATATGATCCTGATAACCATGTGCTGCTATTGGACTCGATCCTCTACACCAAGGTTCAAAACGACTTGTCATCCATTAGGTGATCCATTAATAGGAATATCCTACACTCCATATCTCATTAGTGGTATAAAGGGCACATCACACTTTTAGAAGTCCATAAACTTGAATAAACTTGAACTTAGCTCGTTAAGACTCCAACCAAACCTTGAAGTCATGACTTTCATCGCTTCATTCTCATTATTGGTGGATTTTATCTCGCAACTTCCCAACTTAACCAAAACTTAGTTGAGGTAATGGTTTGCTTGAGGGATGTTTAATTCCTATAGTGATCGTCTTTGGTTGTATGAACAATATTGCTTGGGTCTACTTATGTGGTTCGTACCAAAGCATTCTCTCTACTGTCTAGGCCTACTACGAGCTCTCCACTGAGGCATGCTTGCCATCTAGAATTATGGTCATAGGAGGCTGGGTCCAAGGTATTTCACCTCGTACTAGGCCTTAGAAAGTCACATGTACATCTTTGGACGTCTCGCACTCTGCGGCGTCACCTCTCTATCTTTCTAAGGCTAGTAAGCTATAAAATGACCTCTCTCGGCCTTCTCACAATAACTCGCATCTAGCATCGACGTATAGAGTGATCATTCCTTATTTATCGCCTTGAGGCATAATCATAGTTACCGCGTAACCCAAGACAAACATAATATTCACACGCTTTACATCATATCATAACATATTAAACAGGGTTAGACTGAATACCTGGCCGCAGCGAGGCGTGTCGTCGAGCTGAGTCACAAAGGTGTACGACTCTCTATCCTAAAAATAAAATCTATAGAATCTAAAACCTAACTGCTCTGATACCAATCTGTCACGACTCGACTTTCGAGGCTTCGAAAGACAAAATCGTGACTAAAAAGACGAAATCGAAAATAAATAAAAAGAAAAGAAAAAAAAAATATAAGGTAAAAATCGAACAAAATTTAAAAAAAGAAAAAGAAATCAAGGACACCAAAATTAAATATAAAATTAAAGTCAAATATTACAGATAGGAATCACAAATATAAAATGAAATACGAAAGACTCTAAATATTAATACAGACAAAGGACTCTAAAAGACCGACAAGGGACTGACGCTCCGGAACGACACCCCTTTGTGACAGTGCAACTCTCGAACACCTCCCCGTATCGACTAGTACCTGAAAAAAAAAAAAAAGGGAGAAAGGGGTGAGTATAAAAATATACTCATAAGCAACCTACTTGTAGGCTTTTTTCGCATCCTTATCTTAGTAGGTATCCACAGTCTTATCTCTGGCTCCATGTCATCCTACGTGGCTCCACGTCCCCCGCTCAGGTATGGGTTTCTACGGCCTAGGTCTTGTTCAAAAGACCCTTTAGCTATCACCACTAGGTCTGGCACATGTCACACTTCCCTCTCCGAATCTACCAAGCTCAACGATCTCCGTATCGGAGCTCTGTCTCAACGGTACGGTATCGGAGTAGAGGGGGAAGTGGAGGTTTTGATGACACTATCCACACTGCTCAATTCTAGCGGGCTACCTACAGTTACCGTGGTGACCTACTATTCTTTCTAGGGTGGAACTTGGTGTCTTAGACTTGGATTCATGCATCTCTAGGATTCTCGTGCAAGGTCTCACAAACCTATCAGGTTTGGAATTCCGGGCTTTGGATCCGCTGGTAATCGTTTCACGGGTCTAAATGCACGGTATTCTAGAGGTTTCCCAATCTAGGGTCTCATCTAGCCTACTTAGTCACAAGCACCCTAATCTAAGCTCATAATTTCTTCATATTCAACAAGAAAGATAACACAAGCAATCATCATGCATAGGAGTTAACACAGAGTAGTTCATGCAATATTAACAATTTTGCTCAACGGGAAGATAACGTCCATCTTCACCCGGAGTGTAGATTTCACAAGTTTCCCATCCTCCTCATGCATACATGCATTATCAGAATCTCAATCTAAACAGATTACATAATCATTCATAACTAGAAGCCATAGATTTCCTTATTTATTTCATTTTCATGGTTTCCATACTAATATGCTAGGTTCGGTCAGCTAGGTTTATGGGTATGATAGCATGCATGCTTATTCCAAGCGGTTCCTACAAGTACTGCTCGTGGGAATCCAAATGGCTACTTACTTTGTTGACGCGTGCCTTCTCAAGCTTGAATTATTTGCCGAAAAAGATTCCAAAAATTCTAGAATTTCCTTGATAGGTCCTAATTCTCATAAAAATAGGATCAGAGTTGAAATCGGGGCGAAAAACAAGCAAATGGAGGCCAAATGGGTGTGAGAATGGGGTCCCACGCACCGTGCATGCGCCAACAGTAGGTCCCCCACACGCGCCGGCACACGCCCCCACGTGCAGCCCCCACGCGTAGGGCACACGTGCGAACAGTGCCGCGTTTTGAACCTAGCGACACGTGGCGCACAGTGTTTGGCGGGAAATGTCGGGTTGGACCGCGGGTTTCTAAACTGGTTCAGCGGGCATACGGGTTGACTCGACTCAGCACACCAATGGAATGCTGCCACGTGACACACACTAGCTCCGCCATGCTCTTCCATTCGCCGGTCGACGCTTGGCAGTCTCTTTCTCTCTCCTGCGTGTGTTTCAAATTTCCATATGTTAGCATTTTCGCATTTTCGATCTATTTTCTTCCAATTTTCTTATTTTTCAATCTGTTATCCATATCAACAAAGTTTCTTCACGAAAATTGTAGATCTCATATTCTACTTCTACAATATATTTTTCTTTTATTTTTTTCCTTGAACACAGAACGAGTTAAGGCCGTCCAAAGATACAAAAAAACTCACATTTTCTATTTTCGATCGGTTTACTCGAAGTCCGACTAAACTCCGATTTTCGTCTGATTCTCATCTAGGAACTTCAAGAAACCTATGTGAATCTTATTTTAGTTACATACCTCAAAAACTCCAAATCTAACGCTCAAGAAACTCCTCAGATCTAGATAAAATCGAAATAAGAAGTTCGAAACCTTACTTTGTCCGTTCTCGGATTTTCTTGCTGAAATGAGTGAATCCACCCCCAAACTCTTTTTCCAGCACTGAGAGAAGTATTGCTTCAAAGTTTCTTGCCTTGGATTCGATCTTCAACGATGGTTTGTCTTCTCTGTTCTTCTTCTCTCCCAAACCCTAACTTCTTCTCCTTTCTCCTTTCTCTCTCTCTCTTTCTCTTTTTTTTTTTTCTTTTCTTTCTTCTTGGAGCCCAAATAACTAGACCCCTCAGGTAAGGTAAGGGCAATACGACCCTTTTGTCCCTATGTTGTTTTTTTTTTTTTTATTTAGTTATCTAAAAATTCGGGTATTACAATCACGTGTTTGTTTAGATTGATGTCAGTTAGTATCTGATTAAATTTCCTTATAGTTAGGAGTTGATTTAGTTTTTGATTTGATTATGGGTTTGTTACCAGATTTTATGCATATTTTTAGGTAGATTTTCTAAATATCTTTTTGTATTTTCTATATATAGAGCATTATGGCTCTTCATAATACAATCTTCTTATCTACCATTAAATTACTCAATTTTTCACTGACAATTGGTATCAGAGCTATCTTCTTAAGGAATCTGTGAGATCAAAATAGAAGGTGAATCTAGTTTTTCAGTTGTTGCACCACCAATCTTCGATGGAGACAATTATCAAATGTGGACAGTTCGTATGGAGACTTTGGATCTGTAGGAAGCAATAGAAGAGGATTACGAGGTCCCTCCACTTCCAGCAAATCCTACCGTAGCACAAATCAAAGCACGGAAGAAAAAGACGACAAAAAAATCAAAGACAAAAGCTTGTCTATTTGCAGCAGTATCTCAAATGATCTTCATGTGAATAATGTCTCTCAAAACAACAAAGGAAATCTGGAATTATCTCAAGGCTGGATATGAAGGAGATGAGAGGATTTGTGGAATGATGGTCTTGAATTTGATTAGGGATTTCGAGCTGCAGAAAATAAAGGAGTCTGAGCTAGTGAAAGAGTACTCTGACAGACTTCTCAGCATTGCCAACAAGGTGAGATTGCTTGGTTTTATGTTAAATGATTCCAGGATCGTTGAAAAGCTGCTGGTCACTATTCCAAAGAAATTTAAAGCCACCATTACTACTCTGGAGAACACCAAAGACCTGTCAAAGAGTTCTCTTACAGAGCTCTTGAATGCTTTACAATCACAAGAGCAAAGGAGGTCTATGAGGCAAGAAGGGGTGATTGAAGGGGCCTTACCTATTAAGCATCAAGACAACAACAGGTATAAAAACAAGAAAATTTTCAAAAACCAATCGATGAATTGAGATTCATCTCCCAATTATCAGAAGACAAAAGGAGGAGGTTTCAAAAAATCATATCCACCTTGCTGCCATTGTTAGAAGAAAGGTCATCCACCATACAAGTGTTGAAGAAGACCTGACACCAAATGCTCCAAATGCAATCAACTTGGAGATCAATTGAAAGAAATAGATGCATAGGTAGCCGACAAGAAGGAGAAGATCAATTGTTTATGGTAACTTGTTCCTCAAGCAAAGAATCAAGCGACAGCTGGTTGATTGATAGTGGGTGCACAAATCATATGACATATGACAAGGAGTTTTTTTAGGAATTAAGAGACACTGAAGTCAAGGGAAAAGACACCGTAGCTATTGTTGGCTTATTAGCCCTTGATCTCACATTAATTAATTTCAATGAATTAATTATTGATGTTTTGATGATAACAAACCTACCTTTAATTATTAACTATTTTCAGTTTTTTGAACTGTCCAGGACATAAGGTCGGGAATAACGATTACAACAACTTTTCAATTACTCAAATCAGAGCTAAAACGAAGAAATTAGAGTCGAGACAACATACCCGACGTGATGATGTGGCAACAAAATCAAAATGATGGACAAATCAAAATATATCAAAGTATGACATTTATAATATTGGAAGAGTAACAAATGGTGGAGTTTTTCTTATTATTACATTTCTAAATAAAATTATTTTCACAAAATATAAATTTGAATATAACCGTTACTCACATCGAATTTTATTATTACTATATTATATTATTATATTATTATATTTTAAAATTTTGGTAGTTACTCACATCATTTATATTATTATTATATTATTATATTTTTAATAAATTTTGAATTTCATTTTACCGTTACTCACATAACTTTTTATTATTATTATATTATATTACTATTATATTAAAATTTTGAAATAAATGAATTTAGAAAATTTTCTTATTTAATTACTTTTAATCTCCACATTCCATTATTCCTAACACAATCCAATGGTCAATATTCAATCCTACATTTTGCCACTTTTCTCCTCTATATAAACTCATCTTCCCCACATTTTTAAAACACACAACTTACATACATTCTTCAATCCTCATTTGTTCAAAGTCTCCATTGTTTGTTGCTCTCTCCAAGCTTACAAGTTTATTTCTTTTCATCTTATTCTTGAGAGGGATTATTATTATATTGTGAGGAAATAGTTGTCAGTATCCCAAATTGTAAATCTACTCTTTGAGAGAGTTGTGGTGTGTTATTATCAAACTCAAATACTTGTATCGGTTTGATCCTGCGCCGTGGAAAGGATTGAGTTTGCTCTTGAACTCGTAAAAAGAGCGGTGTACCGGTTTGGCTCTGATCCGTGGAAAGAGTCGGAAAAGTTCTTTATTCAAATTCCCAAGAGGCGCTTGGGGAGTGGAGTAGGTCGAGTTTGACCGAACCACTATAAAACTACGGTGTCATTTTCTCTAACTCTTTCCTATTTAATTTCAAGATTATTATTATGATTTATTGCATGTTCTACTTGATTATTGTTTTGACTTGAATTATTTTGTTTTAGTAATTATCATCTTCTACTTATTTGTAAAAAGTTTTATCATTAGAAAAATTAATCAAGTTTAAACACTTTTATCGTTAAAACCCTATTCACCCCCCCTCTAGGGTTGCCATACCGATCCAACAATTGGTATCAGAGCAGGTTGCTCCTATAGATTTTTTATCTAAACTTTATTGTTCGAGCTTATGGCAAACCTACGTGTTAAAAATGGTTTTAGTGAAGGACAATCAACTTCTAGGCCACCTTATTTTGATGGAACAAATTATACATGTTGGAAAGCTAGGATGAAAATTTATTTGCAATCCGTTGATTATCAATTGTGGTTAAATGTTAGTAATGGTCCTTACATTCCAATAAAAATTGTTAATAATATTGAGGTGCCTAAATTAGAAAATGAATTTGATGAGCATGATATGAAAAAATGTTCTTTGAATGCTAGTGCTATCAATTGTCTGTATTGTGCCTTAAGTAATGATGAATTTAATAGAGTATGTATGTGTTCTTCGGCATATGAAATTTGGAAAACTCTTGAAGTAACTCATGAGGGAACCAATCAAGTTAAAGAAACAAAAATTAGCATGTTAGTTCATAATTATGAACTATTTAAAATGGAGGAAAATGAACCTATTGGTGATATGTTTACTAGATTTACTAATATTTTAAATGCTTTGAAAAATCTTGGAAAAGTATATTCTACTTCCGAAAATGTAAGAAAAATTCTTAGGTCTCTGCCTAAAAGTTGGGAGGCAAAAGTGACGGCGATTCAAGAAGCAAAGGATCTCACAAAGCTTCCTTTGGATGAACTAGTTGGTTCTCTCATGACACATGAGATTACCATGAACGGGCACATGGAAGAAGAATCCAAAAAGAAGAAAAGTATAGCCCTAAAGTCCATCAAAGTTGACTCTGAAGATGAGGACGTCCTTGATGAAGATGATGTCGCCTACTTCACACGTAAGTATAAAAATTTTATTAAAAGGAAGAAACAATTAAAAAAACACTTCACAAATCAAAAAGAGTCCAAAGGTGAAAAGAGCAAAAACGATGAGGTAATATGTTATGAATGTAAAAAGCCGGGTCATATAAGAACGGATTGTCCTCTCCTCAAATCATCTAAGAAATCCAAGAAGAAAGCAATGAAGGCTACTTGGGATGATAGTAATGAAAGTGCAAGTGGAAGTGATGAAGAAGTAGCAAATTTTTGCTTCATGGCTCATAGTGACAAAGAGGATGAACAAGA